TCTGTGATGGGTCCAAAGCCTGTCTGTCACGGTCTGTGATGGGTCCAGAGCATGTCTGTCACGGTCTGTGATGGGTCCAAAGCCTGTCTGTCACGGTCTGTGACGATTAATTAGCTAATTAAATACTAATTAATCAATCAATTAATTAAATACTAATTAATCAATTAATTAATTAAATACTAATTAATTAATTAAGATGTCTGTCACGGTCTGTGATGGGTCACGTGAGAGTCTGTCACGGTCTGTGATGGGTCACGTGAGTGTCTGTCACGGTCTGTGGGGGGGTCCAAATTTCTACCCTTAAACACTTCAACACTCCTTTCAGATCGTGTTTCACAAAATAAATAAATAAAACTGACAATATCTTCATTTGTTTCGAGATGCTAAAAGACAAATAAAAGCTGAATCAGATAAGATATCCAACGCACTGACTTTCAAGTGACTATTAACTATACAGATGATAAGCAAACGAAAGTTGGAAAGAATAATGATAAAATAAATGATATTGCTGGGTTTTTTTTCTCTACCTTTTGTTGCTGACAACGATACTTTTGATTACATCCAGGTTAACTTTGACCTTGACTTTCAACGAAAAAAACAGTCGACATCCAACATATAAATAGCAAAAGTAATATCTATTCAAACAACAATCTATTTACTAATCAAGCAGCAAAAATGGCATCAAAAATGACTCGATATCAAAGACACCGTATGGCTGAAAATTATTTGGTCATCTGGGTCGATGGAAATATCGACATGGCAAATCCAGATTGCCAAAATACAATGGAACAATTACGTGCTGTCGTAAACCAAGTCAAGCCATGCGAGACAGCTGAACAATGTATAAAACAGCTCACAGAAAATCAAGAGGAAATCTCATTTGTTATCTCCTCAGGTGCACTTGGACAACATTTGGTACCAGATATTCATGATATGGCAAAATTAAATGCCATTTTTATATTTGGCGGCAATAAACAACAGCATGAAGTATGGGCGCAAAATTGGCCGAAAATTAAAGGTGTTCACACCTCAATCAAACATATTTGTGACAAATTGGCAACAGCAATCAAACAATGCAATCAAGATCATATGTCGGTGAGCATTATTAGTGTGAATGCAGGAGGTTCTAGCAAGAATCTAGATCAGCTAGAACCTTCTTTTATGTATTCACAAATATTCAAGGAAATACTTCTTGAAATCGAACATGAACAACAAGCCGTCCAAGATTTCGTCACGTACTGTCAACAAGAATACGAAGACAATACGAATGAAATGAAAATTATCAAGGAATTTCAACGTACTTATCAAGCATCCAACGCCATTTGGTGGTATACACGCACATGCTTCACATACAAAATGGTCAATGGCGCATTAAGAACACTCAATGGCGACATTATGATCCGAATGGGTTTTTTCCTGTGTGATGTACATCGTCAAATTGAACATTTATACAAACAACAGGTCAGTCAATACCATAATAAGATTCGTACAGTCTTTCGAGGGCAAGGCCTATCGAAAGCAGATTTTGAAAAGCTCGCAGAAAACAAAGGTGGCTTGATTTCTTTTAACAACTTTTTATCAACCAGTACAGATCGAGATGTTTCTCTCTTTTTCGCCGAAAGTAACCTAGCAGCAACCGATACAGTGGGTATTTTTTTTGAAATCACGAGCGATCCCACGGTCTCATCGGCTCCATTCGCCTCCATTCGAGAGGAAAGCTACTTCAAGGATGAAGAGGAAATTCTCTTCTCCATGCACACCGTCTTTCGAATTGGTGAAGTGCGAAAAATTGACAACAATCGTGCACTTTATCAAGTCGACCTTAAACTTACATCCGATGATGATCCACAACTTCGAGAATTAACTGATTACATACGACAAGAAGTCGCCGGTACCGGATGGTATCGAATGGGTAAATTGTTACTCAAAATAGGTCAATTCGACAAGGCCGAAGAACTATATATGACACTACTAGACCAGGCATCGAATGATAGTCATAGGGCATACGTCTATCACCATCTTGGAATCATGAAACACAGACAAGGACAATACGAAGAAGCTCTTGAATTTTACGAACAATCTCTGCGAATCTGCCGAAAAACTCTTTCCGAAGATCATCCTTCATTAGCTCCTGTATACAACAATATTGCTCTAGTGCATAACGCCATGGGTGACTACTCGAAAGCACTTGAATTTTACGAAAAACATCTAGAAATCACAAAAAAAGCTCTGCCTTCGAATCATCCAGATTTGGCTGCATCATACAGCAACATTGGTCAAGTGTATAAGAACATGGGTGACTACCCGAAAGCACTTGAATTTTACGAAAAATCACATCAAATCTACGAAAAAGCTCTGCCTTCGAATCATCCTGATTTGGCTACTTCATACGG